AGTCATATAAACTCTTACCTAAAAATTACTGTGATGTTACTTTAGTTTAAAGCTGAAAGGTAAAAGCATTGTCACTGACTGGCTGTAATTTATTATATTCAGGTCCAAAAACAAGCATTCTCCTCCATGTCATATCCACAAAATATCTCGTTTCACAGAAGTGTAAGGAAAAGTCACACAAGACAATTTCTGTTCTGAATTTAACTACTTGTCCTGTACTGTTGCCCCAAAACCTCGTTAGGGACTGCAGGCATTTAATGAGCAGAGATAATTTCTTCCTTAAAAGGTATCCATTTCACTCCTTATTGAGTCTCAGAGGATAGATACAGAAGTAATACCGCACAGAGAAATCTCTTTCTTATGCAATGTATGAGCTACGTTCCCACATGCATCAGAGACAGCCTCATATTCAAGGGACTATTTTGGATGCTTGGGGCTGCTGCCTTCTTGGTGGTTTTGCCCTTCTGTGGGAGAAGGCAGCTGGAGAGTGGGCATATGGTCTTCTTTCCCACTCAAGCTGATGTCTTGTGGTCCCAGGTTAATGAAGTGCTTTAAGTTATATAAGCTGTTATGCTGCTAGGAGGTTTGTTACAGGTCCCGAGCTATACCTCTCCACCTAGGTGGCAAGGTAGTACCAGCACAAATAATACTAACACTTTGTGTTTGGACTTAAGCACAAGCACAGCTGGAGAAATTCAGGCTGTCAGGACTGGGAATTTCTTAGTTTTTGATGGCTTTGTACATTCTGTAATCTGCAGTGTCTCTCTGGCTGAGGGCAACTCAAATGGATTGTCAAAAACCTCCAGATAGGATTTAGTCATGAGACTGCCAGTCTGTTAAAAACTAACCTTTAGAGCATGTTTTGGGCTGGTTCAAAAATTACAAGGTTAAGTTACAAGTCTCTCCATCACCTCTGCACAAAGATGCTACATATAACCGTTGTCTCACCATGACAACCTAAAGGGGACAAATCACTTTAAGCTTTTCCCAAAGATATATTGGGAAAATAACCTCAGCACCTACACACACAAATGCATACTTACATGGGTCAGTCTTTGCTCTTAGTTAGTTCTCCTTGTGGTCAGAGCTAAATAGGATGGCGAGCATGGAAAGAATTCTTTTATGACAATTACATAGGAATTTTGCTTAGTGAAAATACAATTCAACTCATAGATTGAGACTTGGGACACCACTTTGTTGTGTCAAGTCAGGTCACCTGAATTAAACTTTAAAAAATAAAGTTTGAGTTTGGATCATATTGTCAAAATCTGAGGTAGGAATTCTTCTTTTGCTGTTGAATTATCAAACAAGAATGCTGCCTCACTCTGTGAGAGACACTGGATTTGGAAATTGTTTAATTTCTTACCTCAGCATCATCACACCGTAGGACATAAGTACTGAATAGAGCTGGAGAATGGTTAATAAAATCCAAATGATATTTTAGTGAAATGTACTTTTAAAAATGTGCAAGTTTATTTGCTCACACAGAGGTAGCAAGGCTAGGAAATTCTGCCAGAGAAGCCCATGCAGTTGCAGCTCCAGTGCAAATACATTTTTTCTTGCATGCTGCTCAGAAGTTCCCATTGTAGTGAGAGTGTTGCCAATGTCTCTGCTCAGTGAGAAAGCTAGACAGTTATAAAATCGGGGGAAATTTCCACCTGCATCCACCTGAAGGACCTTTTTCTTCCTAAAATGGAGCCTTCCCTCTCCTTTCCCCAGTGATAAAGTTCAATTTCAGCCCAAGAGGAAATCTTTGATTTTGTGGCATTTAGAAGAAAAGCTAAAGGAATGAAAGTGCTCATACGCAGGTCTTGATTCTTTGAGCTCCGCTTTCAGTAGCAGTTATACTAGTAGTTATACTGGTTAGCTCAATCAGGCATCAGTTCCTTGGGAAAGCTTGAAGCAGTGTTCCCTTTCCCTGAAGCAGCAAATATTTTGGAAAGACAGGAAGGACCATGCAGGGATGGAGGATGTTGTCCATCTTTCCAATCAACACTATTCCATCACCATGTAGGATTAGATGGTCAGAAGTTTTTATTCCCTGCATTTGAACTTGTAACCAAGAGGTAGAAGACTGAATTCTTTACCCGGTTATCTGAACACTGATTTACCAGTGTTTAAAATTAAACATATGGAAAGCCAGCCTAATTAATGAGACTTTTAATAGAGTGTAAGTATGCTATTAATCACCTGCTTAAGCAACCTGTAAGAGGGCAGAGCCAAGGAATACATTAAAGTCTACCTAGAGATAAAGGATTATCTATGGAGGATTTGTTTTGAAAAGCACGTAGGGCCTTGTTTCAAACAAACAAACAAACAAAAATCTTTCAAATATTTCATAGGGAAATAATCCTCTGACTGTCACATCTGGTCTTTACCTAATTCTGCATAATTTGCCAAGGTGCTTCACTGCTTATTTTAGTAGGTTTTTATAAAAACTTCTGGGCCCCAGTATTTGTATGTTTTAAAAATACTTTTCACAAGAAGTTAAAATGCAGAATCTTTCATGTGTACAGCATGTTTTTCAGAGAATAACAATTAATTTGTATGGCCCCATGTGACGCTCTGAAAAAAAAGGAAGTTGTAATGGATGTACTTGCAGGAGCTCCCTTTCTCCCTTAGCTGTAATTGTGCAAATGGTACTGAGATAATACTGTCATTGTTTGTCTTTTCCATGAAGCCAGTATGAAGATTAAAGTACCATCTGGCTTTCTGAAAGCTAAAGTTAGCAAACCTCTAGCTTGAGACAAACAAGAAGTTGGATCCCTGCTTGGGTGGGCATTTTAAATGTAACTTAACTTTGCCCATCTCCAGTTAAAATTCTCAACACAAATCAGCAGGCAGAGCTTTTCCCTCCTCGTAAGAGTTAACATTCTAGCAGAAATGTTTCGAAGCACATTTTCCTGGAGGCCTGTTAGGTCTATTGTTGTTTTTATGCTCTAACAGAGTGTAAAGATAGAACCAACAAAGTAAAGCTTGTTGAAAAATTCACATTTTTTTGTTTGTTTGTGAAATACTTTTTTTTTCTGAAAACATTTTGAAAATTAACCAGCATTTTCACATTTCTATCGATTTTGCTATGAGGTTTTGACATATCTTTTTACTTAGTGTTCCTTCTAAGATCTTAAACCATTTGCACAATCATTGCAGAAGAAAAAAGAATCTTTTTAAGTCATGATTTATCTATGAAATCCATTTTTTCATTAAATATTTAGAAAGTAATTTCAATTAAAAAATGAGTTACATTAATAGGAAATTTCACAGAAAGTGAAAAGGAAGCCTTCTCAAACTATATGAAATAGAAATATTTTCAAATTGTTTTGTGAATTATTTTTTTGTTGTTGTTTAGTTTTTTTGGTTACCAGCTCTTCTAAAAACTGTAGTTGATAAGCACATAGTGACTTTTAATGAAGTCAGGAGAATTCATCAGAAGAATTCATCAGGGCTGTTAGTGATAAAAATACTGTGTCTAGTTATGTTTCAGGCAATGTTACCACTAGCAGAACCAGAAACCCACTCTCATTTGATTACTGCTGTATAAAATGTCGTCTATAAACAAACACAGAGAGGAACCGATCTCCCTGCATCTACCCCCTCTCCCTTCCAATGTCAAAGCAATTAAAAAGGAACTCTGTGTCTCAGAGACAAATATAATCACTTTTCAAATATCAACTGGAGATCATATTTTCCTTTGGGTTCCCTGCATAAAAACTAAGCAAAATTACAGGTGATAGAACAACAAAATAACAGTCTTAAGAACCAGGTCTTTGGCTGACCAGTGAGCTGTTTCAACCGATTAATGTCTGGAGCAATATGCCATATGCTTGTACTCTTTCCCTGTGAGCAGTTCTTTTTAGCACTGCTACACATCTTCTATATGGATCAGAGAAATTCCCCTTGCATCAAACCAAATCTCTTCCTGAGGCTAAGTAGAATAGTATCAAAAGTTCAAAAAAAGGCTACTGTCATTATGAAAAAAGGAATATAAATGATAACGTGGGTGGTGTTACAGTGCATGGAGGAGTCCTGGGTATAAATTTAGTGAAATCACCACCTGTGTTCCTTCTACAAAGGCAGCTGAGGTACATGAGCTCTTAATAGCTTAATAAATTCAGGGAACTGGCTTAGATTTACGGATCAAATACCTTCCTACCTATTCTTCAAGTCAATGCGCCTCACATGGACAAATATTTTGTGCTGAAGTTGTTATTTATTAACTTATGGCTGTGATGGGAGGTTGTTAGGTGATGAATATCTGTTGTGGCAGGCTTTGTGTGAGACCCCACTTGTATTAAGTTGTTGTTAGTCTTTCTCTCATGAAAGTTTTTCTTCTTTTGCTCTTATTCAAAGAATTTGGTCATTTTGCCTATGCTGCAAGCTTTCTGTTAAGTCTCACACCCTCAAATTGAATTTACAAACCACTCTTTTGGTGGTGCAGTGAAAAGGGATTGGCCACAGTGCTTAGATACCAACTCTGACTGTGTGATTCAGTATAAATGGAGCCACATTAAAAGGCTAGCTAGAAAGCATAGCCAGAGGAAGTGGAAGTCTTTTCCACTAAAATGCTTTACTGTAAAAATTCAATGCTTGAGGTCCAGTCAAAATCTGGTGGTCTCAGTGGGTAAACTCAAAAGTTTACCCCAGTTGTGGTCATTCCTGCCTTTCTCAGCAGAGAGTATCTCTACCACAACTTCAAGGTTACCCTCAAATCCATCTGATAGCCAAATGACAACACAATCCTCATGTGGCTGCAGAGGTGGCTTTGAAGCAATTCTACTTAAAAAATAATAAGGAAAACTGTTGTTTGGTAGCAAGATACTTTGAGTAAAAGCTCCTGATTCTGTCAATGTATGCAAGCTTTAGCTAGTGAGACCATGAAGCTGAATTAGGGATTTCATACTTTAATGCTGTAAGCCCCTTTGTTGTCTTTGTGCTAGTTTTAAAATTAATATTTAACAAAGCTTGTAATCACTGCTCTGCATTTTGTCTTTGCTAGCTGAATTTTATTTAGAAATGTTTGCAACATAAATTCTTACAGCTCAAGCTCATTGAGATATTCATGTTTATACATGAATTTGTGAATGACTACCAGCAGGATTTTGCTTTAGTAGTGACTGTTGAGCAACACTGGAAAACATCCAAGATATGGGCACCAAACACTGACGTGTATGAAATCAAAGCCATTTCAGAAGATGATCTCTGTAACTATTGTCTCATCTTCACTGACTGTAAAAATGAGAAGAGTAACATTTGACCACAGCAACTAGTGTTTTGAAAATTAATTGATATTTGTAAAGCACTTCAGTGAGGTAGGTTACTCCTGATTCAAGACACCACTTCAGCATGAACATGCAAACATACATAATAATTTTACACCTAGCTAAAAGGTGAATCCTTTCTTTCTAAAATACATGACCTTGCTTTCATCAGCCGATTCGATAACACAAAGCTGTCAGTAGCAAGCTGTGTTGAGATTCCACTTGTCGTTTCATTTTGATCTGGACAAGAATATGTTTTTAATATCACTGGTGATTTCCTTCTGATGAAACATTCCATCCAGTGCATATCATAATTCTTCCTGTACTGCTTGTCAATAAAACCTGTTTTCTGTCTGAATATAAATGTGCTCTTATGTTCTTTTCCCTTTTCTCTCCTCAGTGCATAGTTTGGGACTGGGATTCCAATGGGAAGCATGACTTCATTGGAGAATTTAGCTCGACTTTCAAGGAAATGCGAGGAGCTATGGAAGGGAGACAGGTAGGTGGAGACAACCCAAAGAGTGTCAGTATACAAGCTTTGTAGAGCTCTGTTCCTCAGACAATTCTGTAATGCTGCAGATGACATTGCCTCGTTGTTTCTTGGAAGTTCAGCTGTTCTGTTTATCTCCTAGGCTGTTTTATGAGTTCACATTCTCAGGCTTTTCTTTCTGCTAATATTTATTTCCACTGAGCCTAAGCACGTGGTTTCTATGATGTGCTGTACTGTTCTGGCAAAGCAGAGGCACAATCTGGGTACTCAAAGCATTCCCCAGCTGGCCTACAGCCCCTTTTTTGGGTGAGGGTCATTCTCCATCTTTCTCCATTTCTCATGTGCTGCATTTATTGCTATCAGCTCTAACTGGAACCCATCATAATAAAACTTTCAGTTTCTGAAATATCTTATGAATTGCAGTCCTAAAGGAAAATGAAGTTGTTAGGTTATTAATAATTTCACTTCTTTATGTCAGCTTGATCTTTTCAAATTGGAGTTGATGGTAATTATTGAATGTGATAAATGATTTGGCATATCTAATTTGAGAAATTGTCATTTCCTATTATTACTTAATCCTGAAGGTGTTTTGATAAATCCTCTGAGGGGAAGTTAAATATGTTGGCTTTCTAATCTGCTGATAATTTGTAGTCACTGCTTCATGGTGATCTCAAAACTAAACAGAAGTGCATAATAAACTTTATTCAAGCTTTACATTAGGGTTATGTTTATAATGGGTTAATAGCAAGCTACCAGAGACAAAAGGTGTTTATTAAGTGGTTCAGTCAAACTATTCTATAGGTTGAGAAGTTTCTACTATTCTTCCGTATGTCTTCTATTGACGTTCTAGAGTTTTGCGTATATTGCTTATGTGTAAAATGCCATTGATATATATATGAGTCGTGTATTAACCCATTACAAATACATCCTGAACAGAACCTGAGTGTAAATGAAACCCTACTTTGTTTTCTCAGAGCCAAATTAAGTTAGAGGATTAAGACCCGTTTACAAGAGACTGGGCTAAATTTTTGCAGCTTTTACATCACCTACATGAAGTGTTTCCTGCCAAAACTTAAACCAAACCGAATCTGAGTGGAAGCAAAACCTATCTAAACAGGCAAACTAATTCCAGAGTGAATAACATTAACAAGGGCAGTGTTATGATAGCACCCCAGTTTTGAATGTAAGTGGCTATGGCTGGGAAAGATGCCATGTGAAAGTGGTAAAGGGTGAAACTTTTCAGCATAAACATTTCTTAAATGGCGTCAGAGTCCTTCCCAAACAGCTTGTTGAACAAGACAAGAGGCTTACTGTCCAGAGTACTGAATGGCTGTGAAGGATAAACTATACATTTTTTAATCTGATGGAGGAACAGTATTTTCTTTTCATCCCCAGCTAGTGAAAAGGATGATTACCCTGTCAGGGGCATAGGATGTTAGCATGGTCATTTGTCAAACCTTGTTCTTGTCTATATAAACTCATATTGTATTAAAAGAGTGCCATCCAGGAATAATTTAATGTTGCCTTAATTGCCTAAGCCTTTATGTTGCTTCCCTTTGCCATCCTGCAAGCTGCCTTTCCCCTGTAACATCACAGACTGCTTTTCACTGTAAATGTGCAGCTTTTCTCCTCCATGCTTTTAAGCTGTTGCGGCATTATTTCTCCCTTGTTGCTCTCATTTTATTGCTCTTGTGCGGTTACTCTGCGGGCTTGTACCTGCAAAACCTGATACTGTTGTTGTAGGTGGTTCTCATGGGACACAATTGCAACTAGCATGGGACTCACTTCTCCCCCCACCTCTTTTCTAACCTTTTTTTTTTCTAACTTCTTTATTTTTTGTAGTACATTCTGGGGAAGAAAAAAAAAAGTTTTTATTGGATAACATAGTAGGTAATAATAGTCATTTAAATGGTTAATAAATATTGTCCCAAAATGCATATGCACATCCCAAACAGCTTTTGCACCTGATGATTGCAGGGACCAGTTGGCACTAATAGTACAATGGGCAATTTGAGCAGGTTGTGGTGGAAACAATTTAGTTATTGAGGTAAAAGTATTGCGGGAGATCACATGCTGCAAGGAGAGGTTGCTTGTGTGTGGGACCACATCACTTGTCTTTCTGGCTGACCAGCAAAGAGCAATTTCCCTTTTTCTTTTCCCCTTTCTCTCTGTTCCTCCTTCCTACTTCTTCTCTCCTTTTCCTCTATCCTTCAGTTGTAAATGTTTCTGCTAAAGGCAATATGTGCTGTTGGCTGTGGACCCCATAATACGTCTTGGGTGCATAGTTTGTCTCAACATCTGTTGCGCAACATGGTGTGATATGATTAGCATTTGTCTTTTTTTTTTTTTCCTTAGTTTTATTCTCACCTAAGAAAAAACACGTTCAATGGAGTGTTTACTTTGAATAAAGGGGGTTGAAGGAATGGCAGAGGAGGTGGAAAGTGGTTTGCATTCAAGTGGGTGTGTTGCTAGATATTTCTAATACGGAAGGCCACATCAGAGAAATGTAATTAAACGAGGGTGAGGCGATGGGTAGGTTAGATGTAGCCCTTCCTTCGTAGAAGAGATTTTTTCATAGCTTCTGATCAGAAAATGTTATGTTTTCCATGTAGTACTTTTTCCAGTCAGAAGAATAAAACTGCCAACAGCATCCTTCAGTCTGTGGCGTTAACCATTCTTTCATAAAGCATCTCAAGAGCGAGTGTCTTGAAGATGAGGACCAAAATCTGAAATCCGATCTCAACAGCTTTGGAAGCCAGTGTGAAGAGCAGAGCTCAGGTCTGACATTCCTGTTTGAGTAGCTGAGGAGACACAATGAAACTTTTTATTATGGTTGTATTTTAGTTCATGCAGTAAGCTTTATGGCCAGCTACAGTACATTGCTGTAGTTCTGTCAAAAGATAATCAAAACATCCTAAGGATTGGCAGCCAGGGTTTTTCAGTCTCCCAGACAACAGGAGAGAATAAGAAGGAACACTTACCATTGGCAGGGATGAGGGATCTCTCCTTAAGTACCAGCTGCAAATCTGTGCAGAGTTAAAGGAGGCTATACCAGTGGCAAGGTTCTCCCTCTGCCCATCAGCAGCATCTGTATTAGTTGGTGTCAGTTCCAAAAATTGTCATATATAATTTTAATTGTTAAGGATGAGAGTAGTATAGTAGTAGTATGTGTTGGTGTGCAGGAAAAACTGTGTGTCATCCGTGTGCTGCTAGTACCTCACATCATTTCACCAGTTCACCTCATCTCCATTTGGTGGATTTGAAAAGGATCTTGAGGTTGCCTTTTAATTGTTCATAGTTCATCCTCCAGAAAGCACTAATAGTATTCTATCTCATTCTTCAACCTGCTCCTCAAGTGAGATATGTCTTATTATTATTACAAGTCTCGTAGCCAAACTATCAAATGCTACAGAACCTCTTGGGATGATCAGGATGGATATGTGCTACAGGAGGTGATGGTGCTTCGTAGACTGTTGCATACCCTGGCTGAGTATTGATTATTCCAAACGTTGAGTGTCAGCTTCTGATCAGATGATTTTATGGTTGGCTTGCTGACTTGCCTCTTCTGTGAGATCTCTTGGAAATTTGTGCTTGAAACCAGGCATCATTTAAATAAATGTGAATCTAGCACTGACAGCTTGGTAGCGGTTGAAGCAGTAGTGTGTGAAGGAAGAAGAGAAGATTTCTTCTCTGAATGATTGATCACCTGTTTTGATCAGGAGTGGTGTGAGTAATTCATGAACGCCTTTCCTAAATGTGGCAGGTCCTGGGTGAGATTCACAAGTCTTGAATTGTGATGCCTTCAGAATCAGAGTTGCTTCTTAGCGACTGAAATTACTGAATTCTGGAAAAGCTGGTTGGCCTTTGGTTTGTGATCCAGGTGAAATCAATTCATGCTTTTTAAGAAAACTTCCTGATAATGAAAAATCTTTTCAGTGACTCTGGGTAATAGCTTGGTGTGTGTTTCTGTTCCTTAATAATTACCTTGTTGTCACAGACTGTTGTTTCCTGACAGGTAGCCTATTTTCCTACTGACCACCAATAAGAAAGGGGCAAACACATCCTGTTGTTTAAATGTACATCAGAAATAGACATTTCTAAGCCTTCTGTTTAGCATTTCTCACCAAAATTCATCATTTACTCCTTCATCATAATCTTGATACACACACAAAATTAAGAACAAGTCCATCACTTTTTGTGACAGTATTTTTTAGTGAAATACTAGTAAATACTTAGTTTATTGTTGTGGGTTTTTTTTGTTTGTTTGTTTGGTTTTTTTTTTTTGGACATGGCTTCAATAAAACCAGAGGGATTCAGAAAAAATGTCATAGAAACAGAAATCACCTGGATTCTCATGCAATGCAAGGATTACATAAGGGAGAAATCTGTTCCTGTGTTCCTATATTACAAAAAAAAATGAACGTGTGTGTGTGTTCACACACGGAAAGGAAAGGGGAGGAAGAAACCCTACTGTGCTTACTATCTCTAGTGCTATTACCGCAAGCTGAGGGCTGCTGAGGTCCACAAGATTGGGTGCGATCCTTCAGGAATCTCAGCTGGTTTCCCCCATTTGTTCAGGTACCTGACTATGAGCTTCATATCAGGGCTTTTGCTTCTTTAAGTAGCTAAGCACAGATGGGACATAAGAATAGTTTGGGGGTTGATTATCATCATACGCAATAGTACTTATATTCAATAAACAGGAGACACTTAAAACCAGGTAGTTCTCTGTTTCAGATTCACTGTGGTGCTTGACAGAGAAAGACCTTGTATTGCCCAGAGCTGCCAGGCATTTGGAGGAAACGTTAAGTGACTTTCAGGATGACGAATCCAAATTTCACAATGTTTACCATTAGCATCAGATTGCAGACTCTTGCATTAGTTTCCACTTAGCTGAAAAGTTAATTTAAGAGACAAAAATGAATCAATAAAAACAATGTCAGATACCAAATCAATACCGGGAATGTAAGAGCAGACTGAGATTTGGGCTTGTCCTCACAGTACAAGCAAAATATTTCAAAGTTGTTTTGCATTATTACTTACCCGCTTAGAGCTGTATTCTGAATTCCATTGTCTTTGGAAGAGCTGGAGATGTGACGAGGTCTGTATAGGGAATTTCCTTCAAAGGACACTTGTCACATCTTCAGCTTGAGCTGTGGCAACTGGCAAGGTCAGAACCACATCTTGGTGTGTTACTAAAGATTGAGAGTTTCATGTGAAAGTCTTATCTTTTAAGCCTACCCATTAACAGGGGATGGACTCCCTTTCCCTTTCCCTTTCCCTTTCCCTTTCCCTTTCCCTTTCCCTTTCCCTTTCCCTTTCCCTTTCCCTTTCCCTTTCCCTTTCCCTTTCCCTTTCCCTTTCCCTTTCCCTTTCCCTTTCCCTTTCCCTTTCCCTTTCCCTTTCCCTTTCCCTTTCCCTTTCCTTCCTTTCCCTTTCCCTTTCCCTTTCCCTTTCCCTTTCCCTCTCTCTACTACCACATCAACAGATATGATAGGTGCAAATTAATTCTTGCTTTCTAATTTTCTATTTTCTAGGAATTTGCTAGCTTGTTCTTTGAATTGCTTTCTTATCCACATCACCCAATGACATGTTAGTGATTTGCATTCCAAATGTAGGCGAACATTCCTACATATGTTTTACAGAGGAGCTGAGAGGAGCAGATTTTTCTCCCCTGAAGTAGTTTTACACTGCTTTGGTCCTCATATAGTATAAACTTCTTCCAGAAACCAATGACATGAACATGATAAACATTATATTCAGGCTTAAACAATCTTTTTTTCCAAAGGAAAAGCCAGGCATTATTGTTTCAACATAGACATTTAGAAGTGTTCATGTTGGAGGATGATAAAATTAAGGAACTGCACCTTGAATATTCAAGGGAAAGCATGAGATCTCTCCAGTGTAGTGCACTGGCAAAGCAAGGAGCAAAAATCTTGACCCCTATTTTATCTCTCTATTCAGTATATTACAACTTCTCTGTGATGTACAGACAGCACAGATTCTCTGTAGGAATGTTTCCAATAAGTTTGGAGATAACTGTGCTAAACCATCTTGCCAGACAGCAACATATCAAGACGTGGGCAGTGATTTTCCCTCACTGTCAGGTTGCTTTTCCAAATAAAGAGCTTATTGTGCTCTTGCGTTGTGTCACAACAAGCTCTCTGTAGTTGGAATGAAGGGCTTTTATTTCTTGAGCCTGACTACCTCTCTTGAGTAGAGAAAAAATGCTTATGGAGGATTTTCCCTGAACATGTGGGCCTGTATCTGCCTGTCTTCTCAGTGGAAAATTCATTTCACGAGACAAATAATTGAGCTGTAGGCTAAGCAAGCAGATGTGCTTCCTGCAGTTGGACCATTTTTTTTTAATCTTTTCCCATTCTTGGCTCTGTCGCCTGTCTCCAGAAATGCGATGATGAAAATACTGCTCCTCCCCTGTGCAAAAGAAGGTCTCATATTGCTCCAGAGCCATATGTTTTGCCTTCCTTTTTTTGACACTTGACAGAACTCCAAGCTTTAAATACTTCAGTGACATTGAAATAATTGGTGTTAGGAAGTGGCTTGAAGCTCAACATTTTCATAAGTTCATATGATAAACATGATTTTACATGCTCAAACACTCTTCTCAGACAAATCCGATACGAAGGTCTACACTATAGATAAAGTATTGTAACAGTTAGATATATTTCATTGTAAGATGTCATAATGTGGATTCTTAGCAGAGTGTCCTGGTTCCTTTTGAAGATGCATTCTTTGTTTTATTCAGCATCTGGTTAGAGGTCACCTGTTTTCTTGCAGCACTTGAAAACACCTCCCTGAAGGAAAATAATGTGTTCTTAACCTTACTTAATAACACATTACACATACAAATCTGGTTTTAAAAATGCTGATGGATACTTGCACATGCAAACATGTATTTTGCTCCTGCAACAACGCATGAATAATATTTTAGTAATTAGCTGTCAACGTCTGATAGTTCAGCTTTATCAGTCTGGCTGAAACCAGAGAAGGCAGAACATTTAAAATGAAAATCAATAAGACTCTCAGAGATGTTATGATGGAAATAAGGCAACATATTTCAGTAACAAAGTAGAACTATTTTGCTTTAGAAATTAGTATTTGTAAAGAAAACTAAACAGAACATTTGCAAAGAAGTTTAAAAAATATATTCTTAGGGGTAACTTACAATTCTTAATTTGTTAAATATATCATTAACTAGATGCAATTTCTTTCCACATTTTAGTGGTTTTCTTAACTTTTTGTTTTATTGTCAGACTTAAAGGAGAAAGTCTTGCTCTCTTTCAAGAAAGAATGACATGATGTCTGATTAGAATTTCTCTAATTAGGAGTTTAATAGAAAACACCAGTGATACTGTGTATGCAGTTTTGCAGCTAAAAGAATACATCAGGTTGCTTTCTTGGGTATTTTCAATTGTATTAAATTCCTTCTTATTTTGTCTCCATATATAATCTCAAAAGATCCTAAATTTTGCTCACATAATACCTGAACCTACAGGACTGGAAGTTGACAATGCAAAAATCTGGGTACCTCTCTGAGCACCATGTCCGCATGCACCCAACTGAAGACAGATGTTTGCCTCGGGACCTTTTCTGTTAAGTTAATTCTCTGCATAGTTAATGTTTTTAATTATTTCTTGTATGTGCACCATTATTGATAGGATTCAGTCAACTGTGGAAATCAGACACTACCATCTTTGCTAATTATTCAATGTGTACATAATTTTTCCTTCATGTAGTGACCTCTTTTTTTCACAGGTACAATGGGAATGCATTAACCCCAAATACAAAGCGAAGAAGAAGAATTACAAGAACTCAGGCATTGTGATCCTTAACCAGTGCAAGGTATTTGTGTTTTGCTCATTGTCTGCTTCTTTTCTAAGCTGTCAGTGATGTATTTTAATGGTGTTTGGAAATGTAGACAACAAAGTGGAACTGTCTGGAGAAAGCAATAGAAACTGATCCACTACAAAAAAGTAAAGACAAGGACTTGGATCCCAAAAGTAAGCTAACTGTTCCCAGTGTTCCTCTGTAATTTCTCTTGTCCTGTCTCTTCTGTTGTGCAATGGAGTAGGCAGTACTAAATTCATGACTCCAAGCTTGCCAAATGGCCTCATGTGTATTTCCCTTCCAGTCCTTCCAAAATTCACATCTCCGAACTTACAAATTTTTTCTTGTTCCTCTTAAACCAGTGGCAAAATTCTCATTGACTTCCAACTGAGAATGAATAGAGCCCAGTTCTATTTTTGATGTCAATTTATGTTTCTATAGTTTTAGAATCATTTTGGTATTTTTGCTCTTTAAATTTTTGTTCCTTTCTTCAACTGTATGAAACACTTTCTTCCTAGTACCTTATTTTCAGTTGGTCCCTCCCTTTCTTCCAGTTTACTTTTTTTCAGGCAGTTCCACGCTCTGATATTTTATCAGTACACAGTTAATTTACATATCTTGCTTTCTTGTCTGCAGATCCACAAGATGCATTCTTTCTTAGATTATATCATGGGAGGCTGCCAAATACAGTTTACAGTAAGTGTCTTACTTCTCTAACATGTTTTTAAGAAAGAGAATCCCGTTAGATACTGATTCATCACTTTCATAAAGAAAAGAATCTTATACATCATTCCTTAATAAGTTATTAAGGTGTTATTGCAAAATGTATTGTGCCCAGAAAATAAACCTATGCTAATGCAAGTAGGAGTTTTGTGCACATACTGATTTATTATGTTTTAGAGCAATGACAATCATGTTGCAAAAAATAATGACGGCTCCAAACAGGGGGCAAGAAGATGATGCCTAAATTAATGCTGATCTCAGTTGTAAGTCCACCAGCTACAGTATTGTGCAAATTCGTCACTATCAGTTTTCTACCTACATGGAACCAGGGAAAGTCAATGTCTCTGTGCCTATAGCTCTGTTCATTCATAACCTAGTGGTTCTACTTAATCACAAGCTGTCTGCATGTTTTACTTCCTGCCTCAGTTGCATTACTACCCATGATGATAGCACACGCTGCTTGTCTGCCTTGTTGCTGTCTCCAGAAATGTATCAGAGATTCTCTTGTGGGCACTGAAGCAAAAAACTGCAGCCTACAGTAAAGATATTCTGTGCTTCCTTGCTTTCTGTTTATATTATATGATCTCCTTTTATATATATATGTCCTATATATCTCTTTTTCACATAGGCCTGATTTGGTTACTTCAGACCACTGCAACAGATCAGGCCTATGCCTTCCACCTTTCCAGATTTCCATTCCTTCTGATAGGAACGGGACATTGGATCTGGAATTGTTTGAAACTGTCCCAGTGCATTTACTGTTGTTGTTGCCTTAATGTTAATGACATTTCCATTGAGTTCATGCCATGTACAGTCAACACGATGCAGCTGTGATCTGAAAGGGCACTTGTGGGAGGGAAACTGGGAAGCTAAGTATAGATTTGGTAACAGAAAGCTGTAGTATGATGTACCTGCTCATTTAAGGCACTGATGAGGGCTATGGTAACATCATGCTGTGTGTTCTTTGGATAATTTGTACATCCATTGTAGGAACATAGTTTGTAGTTAGAAAGAATGTCTCTGAAAAACCCAAGTATACTTTTCCTTCACTTTAAAACCATTTATTAAGAAGCCTTCATCTTCAGAGATCAATAGTGCTGATTCCAGGCCATTACTTTTATTCAGCACTTATTGCAGCACACCGTATCTCTTATCAGACAGTGTTCCCTGCTGTACAAGAAATATTCAGAAGCTGGCAGTGCAAATGGGTCTGTAGTCAGAAGACATTTTCATCACTTTAGGAAATACAGCAGAAAGGATGTGTACTATGCATAAAAGGAACTGTAATAGAAAGATATATTGGACAGATTCTCTCCTAGACGGGTCATGGTATTGGACAGGCTGATTCTTTGCTGACAGATCTAGCAGGGGATCCTACCTCTACAGGATATTTTCAGTGCATTGAAAATCACCCTTTTACAAGACTGAGAAAAAAATAAGTGCTAAGAGTTATTGCTATATTAGGTTTTTATTTAGATGTGGGAAGATGACTTGTACATTTGAACTAGTATGTTTAAAGATACACTGACAAAAATCAAATCTCTGCACTGTAAAAAGGATTCCTGCTTTGCTGATCACAAGAATAGCTTATTTGTGATCTTAGCCTAGCTCCTGTGTTATGCTAACTTCGTATTTCTAATTCTTCTCCTACTTATTTGCGCAAGATCTCAGTACTGTCAGGTAATGCTAAAAGAGAAGGGATCTGTGTTGTTATTTTGGAACCATGACAAGTACCAATGGTCATCTTTTGTCTTTCCTTAGAGAACCAAATTTTGGATCAAAATCAAGTATAGTGCATCAGAGTATGAACATTCATAGCATGAGCATTTAAATAAACACCCCAAAACTATGCTAATCCATTCAATTATCCATGTATTTACCTTAGGTTTCACAAACCATTAGAGTTTCTTGCTCATTTCTGACAGCTGTGGCACAGATAGTTACGTATATGCATGCAGGTTAAAACATCAGGGGTTTCCTGTTGATTTATTCAAGTTAAATCAAGCTGTCACTTTGGGAAAAAGATCTATGTGGAAAACTACCAGGCTTACTGCTCCAGTGCTTGAGCAATGAGCAGGGGAGTGGAGGTGAAAGATTACTTTGTTTGCAAGCCAGATCAAGCTTACATCTCCTGACTGACACACTGTGGAGCATGGGAGGCTTGTAGTTGATCAAGATGACAAAGGGATTTGCAAGCTAACTAGAGCCCAGTGAGACATATTTTTCTTCAGCCAAGAGTTAGCCATGGAAAATCAGAAAAGGTAGGGAAAAGCCATATTGAGTTGATGCAGCATGATACTTCTCTTTTTAGCTTCTAGCAACAGCAACAAAAAACTTTCAGGACTGTGTCTTTTTTAAGGGAGAATGAAGATGTCATGTTTCATTTTCATTTTATAGCTGTGTAAAATAGTCTTCCCCGTGCCAAGCAGACTCCAGCTGGGGAAGGTGCACGTTCGCAGAGGCAAGCTGGGACTTTCAAAGTTCTTTTTGCAGCCCTCAGCAAGCCCCTTACATTTCAACTGCACAGTAGAACTACAAACTGAATTCAGTACATCTGTAGCTATTGAAGATCCAGATATAGCGGGGTTTTTGGAGGAAGAGGTCACTGAACAAAATTGTAAGGAAGTTTGTAAATGGCTTTGTTCCATCTAAGAGACCAGATGGTTTTCTTGATGCTCCTCTTCGGAATTCCTTGAAAGCAACATCACAAATTCAGGAAAGAGCTTTCCAATCCATGCCAGTCATATCACAGAAAAATGCATGCAAGATTATCTCTTCAGTGAGAAGGATAAATGGAATTTTAAAAGGGAGAAATTAATTTTAAAAGGATTCTTTAATATATTTGTTTTGGCATTGAATGCTTCCCACAGCCTCCCATAAGGCTTTTCAACACAAAAATCTGTGCAGGATTGAAGCTGTATTTTCATCCTGCAGCTCACCTTTAAGCTTGCTATCATCTGTGAAATTGGGAGGGTTAATTATTTAGTGCTTAGAAGATGCTTTGAAGATAAAAAAGTCCACCAGAGTATTTACTGTAGACACTGAGAATATTATTACAGACACAAGAAGGTACAAAATAGCTACGAAATGTGCCTGAATGGAGTTTTGATTTATAGTTTGAGTAGAATTTTTAACTCTCTAGGGACATTTTAGCTGCACGACGTTTATGTCCTGAACATTACCTGAGCTGGAATAATTTAATTAAGTTTGAGAACCTAGAGATAATTTGATTCATTTTTATTAGAGCATAATTCCCCACATAGAATAATTATCCAGCTTTTTTTTTTCTAGTTATACCATTTTAGTTTTATTAACTCTTATTTTATTAGCTGCTGTATACTTTTAGAAATAGTTATTGCTACTATCCTCATTCAAATTTGATTAAGTACACTGTGAAATGACCTTTGCTTTAAGGTTGCAGTCTCTGCAGAAAATTGGTTTTGGTAAAGATAAATGTTTCGTGTGGCTATACTCTTTCCCAGAACAGCACCACAACACATTGACTTTTCTTCTATTCCAGGTAGCTATAGATTTCACCGCATCCAATGGTGATCCTAGGAACAGCTGCTCACTGCACTATATCCACCCCTATCAACCCAATGAGTACTTGAAAGCTTTGGTAGCTGTTGGGGAGATTTGCCAAGACTATGACAGGTAAATAACCACATTTGATAACAGAGATGTCTTTAGAAAGTGTTTTCACAGTGTGAAATCAATGACTGCCTACTGCCAGCTGCAGTAGCTCCATGTTTAGTCACATAAGAGAAATGACTGCATGACAGAAAGTTTAGTGTACCATACCACAATGTTGAGAGTGACAGTGGGTTTAGATTAGTTTCATGGCAATGAAAGGTCTGGTGTTTGGCTGATATATGTGCTAAGTTTTGAGTTTCTATCCACCTGCCAAAATTACATGTTTGAGTGGATTTTTCATTTGTATTAAGCTTGAAGCCTGTTTCGCAGTTGCTGACAGCATCCTTTCTCATACGCTTGGGAGTATGGTCTGCGCCATCCTACATGAAAGTGTTCCCAAGATTTCATATCTGAAACTAAATTTGTAGTTGCTTAAGCTGCTTAGGGGCCATGTCTGTTCTTAGATTTAAATTTGTGGTCTTCTTCAGTGTTCTGTTAGCTTCTCAAATATTGCAATATCTTCCAAAATTAATATTAAAAGGTACTGATAATATGTGCATACAACACGACAATAAATAAATAAACAAATGCAAGTAATTGGGCCAAATATGCTTTGATTACATTATGTACTTCTGTTGCGTTTGAATAGGCTGTCTGTCTCTATCAGATTAATTGCCCATTATTAATCTAATTACCAAGTACATTTCCTTTAAATGTTCTTTCTTTGCTGGTGATGCATAGTATCTTACACAATTATTCTTTCTCATCTTTGCACATGTAATAGACATCCACCCACCACTTTGCCGTGTGTAAATGCCAGATCTCAAAAAAAACAATGGTATTTCCAGTCAAATTTGATTATACTTTCTGTATAAATTGTGGAGGGACTTAATTCCGTGGTTTATATGTTACATGTTGCATATGCTAATTAGCCTGCTCAGAGGCACTGCCATTTGCATGGTAATGAAATGCCTTCTTGAAAAAGAATGAAGAAAATACTGCCCTGATACAATTTCTGTAAGAATTTGATGGTCAAATGTAGTCAATGAGTCTGAGAAAATTAATATTTTATTGTAAGTGAGCTGATAATTCCACAGTGATTATCCATTAATTTAATAAATGCTATTAAATTAATCCACTAATAAATTCAGTGGATTGGTATACTAAAAAATAATGAAAGGAATAAGAAATAAGAGCTGGTTCATGCACACAGATTGTTTTTATTTATTTATTTCACCACTTAAGGTGCATTTGTTAAGAAAATGAAATAGTTAAGTGACCCAGACCCTCCTGTATGGAGATATTTATCCAAAAATCAGGATTATTCTCTCAACATATCATATTCTAATCAATATGAAAAATACTAGTCATTTTAAAATGAAATCATCAGCTTAATTCACTTCTATTGTGCTACAAAAAATTCCTGTTGCTGCCAGTCAGCACAACTAAGGCCCTACGAGCTATGGACTAGGAGTGAACAAAAGCCAGATTTTCTTGTCCTGGGGAAGTGTCACTTTTCTGGCATGTGTTTGACTGATGCCTGCTCTCAAGTTCTGACACAATAAATACATTCCCATGGACAAGTTGGTTCATCATGGTCAGTGATTTCTGAGGAAAAATGCCAAATGAGAACCTCTTCTTTATACTTGCATGTGTTGGATCCAATAAACTGGAAATTAAACCTTATAATAATTTCTGTAAAGAAAACAAGAGAACCAAACGTTCTCACAGAGTAATTTTAGGTTCTACGTAGGAGTTTGTTTTGTGTGTAATATTCCCAGACTCTTCTCAGTGATGCCCAGCAAAAGGACAAAAGGCAATGGGCATAATCTGCAAGACAGGAAGTTCTGTCTGAATACGTGGAAAAAACTCTTTGCCCTGAGGGTGTCTGAGCACTGAAACAGCTTGCTCAGAGAGCTTGTGGAGTCTCCTTCCCTGGAGATATTCAAAAGCCAGCTGGACACGATCCTGAGTAATGTGCTCTAGGAGACTCTGCTTGAACAGGGAGGTTGGACTAGATGATCTCCAGAGGTCTCTTCCCACCTCAACCATTCTGTGATTCTGCGAAATCTTCCGTATTTACAATTTAAAAAAAAACAAGTTTCAAATTCAGTTGAAAATCTGTAATGTGGCACAGATCCATTAGTGCTCCAATGAGCTCAGTTGTGCTTCAAATGCTGAAGGAAGCATTATGTTCCCAGGTAAAGATCAGACAGAAGTGAAAAGCGGGGGTTCATTGAACCTAAAGGCTGTTTAGAGCCAGAATGTTCATCATTTGCACAGGGACATGTCTTCAGTAAGATTAAAAAACAAGCCTACAAAGATGGCAGTGGTCTTACCTGAAATTTTATAATTTGTACCCAGCAATTGTTTCAGTCCAAACCACAGAAAATGCATTCAAGCCAAGTCTTCTCATAAAGTAGGTTTCTGTATATATCAGCCTAACATAATGTAACCCTAAGTAGTTAATCCTCCAAATTAAGTGCTGCCTCGCATCCCTTGATACAGTAGAATAATCCCTGCTCATCCAAAAGCCATTTATCTTCATGGTTCAGGGATTCCTGAAACAGTTAAATGAATAGCCCTGCTCTGCGTAGTTAAGCATGAAAGAATAACATTCATTCTTTCATCAGCAATATTCAGAGAATGAGAAATAGACTTTGATTATTTACCTGATTGTGGAAACGCTGCAGTCCTGAAGGAATAGGCCAATCTGATAATGGTACAGGAAATGTAAGAGCTGTTCACCGGCACAAAAGACTTAATACTTTTTATGTGATGGAATTGTTTCAGACTATAACAACATTTGTCATAAGAGAGAAGATAAAGTTTGTACGTGATATAATCAGTGGCTAAGCAACAACAGCAATGGATCATAAAAGAAGAAGAAACATTCATTAGTTTTAAGGAGTTAGACTCTAAAATGTAGTTTGAAATACTGGAAGGGGGAAAATGCATAAAAACTTATTACTGAAACTATTGGGTAAAATAAGCAGACAGCTCCAAGGAGAATAATTTATTTTAAGATAAATTACTCATGAATGTTAAAAGAGGACATAATAAAGCAATAAGTGAGAAATATACATATCCATTTAAGCATTTCCACAAGCTTTCTTTTATATAAAGAATTATATCACTGTTACAATTTTGTCTCGAAATTAAGCAGGTCTATTCAGCCTTTTTTGTGGCATAGAGAAACAGATGAAAATGATGAAAAATCATTGGGCACTGAAGTATTTGGTATCAAAAGGAATTGCTTCTGCCTCGTTCCATATTTATTCTTTACCTCAGTAATTTTAGTACTGTGTTCTCTGGATCAGAAGTCAAATGAAGTGATTTCTCCCTACCAGCAGTATCAGCCTTGCTAGGATTCTAAAAAATCATTTTACTTCATCAGTGCCAAATGTGCGTGAGTTCCCTCTTCATGTTTTGAGTAATGAGTTGCCAAATGTATATGACAGATGAGGTTATAGCTGTCCCCTCGTGCACTACAGCTGGCTTAGGACTTCTCTTCTTACCTTCACCAACTCTGCACGGTGGTTTTGTCCAACCCTTCATTTTGGACCCCTTCAAGAGAATGCAACTTTTAGAGGATGGGTGGTAGGTGTATTTGAAAGATTCTACTAGTTGAATACCCAGGCATGAGGAAAGACAAAATCATTCAACAGTTAAAATATCAGACTTGTGAACCAAGATCTTATGTGATGTAAAACATGAATCTCTGTAAGATATGTGATAATAATTTTAAATGGCTCCTGTTCTCCATGGCAACTGCTCCCCAGATGCTCTTCCTTTGCATCATGAAACTGCTCATGTTCAGCATAGAACAACAATTCTTTGTAAGCCAGAGAAGCCTATGGCTAAACTGGGGAATCAGGGAATGCTTTCTTCCCGCTCCGTCCCAGCAGAAGGGCTGGCTGTGTCCTGACTGCAAATCAGGACCTGACCTACCTCTTCTCCCATCACCTTCACACATCCTGGCTTACATCAGAAGAAACTGAGGCATGTGGACAGGGACAGAGCTCCTGTGCTCTGCAGGAGGATGCACAGTCTGATTAACAGTGGGAAGACCATGCCTGTAAGCCTCAAAGTAAAGCACAGCTGCTTTTGTAGGCAAGAACCAGCACCCGAATTGCACTGGGATGTGCCCTCAGCACATATACTGGCATGTGCCTAAGCCTGTTCCCAGTATCACAATCTGGAAACTTCTGTGAAAACTTCTGTCTCTAGATAAAACAAGCACTTTTGCCCAGATAGGTGTAGTTTTGCTGTGATCTCACATGTAAGCACGCAGAGCTCTATACCAAGGTACCTATATGTATACGCCTAGAGTGTTTTTTTCCCATTATCAGTATAAATATATAGGTATGTGTACGATATATATTAGATAGGACATATATGCAATATGTATGATTAGCACTTAACCATGCAGTAAAAAATTCATTTCTCTTTTGTGCTATTTTATAGCTTCCCTCTCTGCAGATCAAAGCCATAAGTCACAATAGCAGTAGTGCACACTGTTTATTAAAATGGCTGGCCCTTTGATCTCGAAGATTTGTTTTACCAGTGCTGGAATACAACCAACTAGCCATGAGTGCAGCTCATCTTTCATTCTTTCCAACCTGAAAATGGGTTGGAAAGGGGCTGAAAATAGCTTCCTTTTTATAATAAATGCTGTTACATACACAGAGTGCTAAAAGCTTAAATACTTCCTCAATTATGTTACATTATTACAGGTTTTAATGATGGTATTGTGAGTGAAGCTCATGGCACAACCTGCAAAATCTGATTCTGTTTGAAATCTGATTTCTGCAGTTAGTAGCTTACTGTTCCCTTCTGCTTATTAAGAATCTTGTTATGTAACATTAAATATTTATTTTTGCATTAAAATCTCTGTCCTGATTCAGCAAGACACTAGAGCTTATTATCTAATCTCATTGAATTTAGCCTGACTCAAGCAAACACTGAAGTATTATGCAAAATATAGGTGGCACAAAGATGGAGTTAAGAGTTTCACTGAA